AAGACAGGAGAGCGGGATTGGGAGGACTGCAGCTCAATCGAGGAACTGCAGCAAGTTTATTAACCACGCAATGCCTTTTATACACAAGACACTGAATAGGAGGTCTGTCAAGAGGAATGTATTCTTAATTCATTTTAATCTCTAAGGGAGAGATAGAGCAGAAGGACAAATTCTCAGTACAGCAAATCTCAGAAAATAGTTAGACTTCTTGGTAAGCCAGGAAAGGCTGTTCTCATTCTACAAAGGTTGCTCTCATTCTACTGATAACCGCCATCCAAACAAGTCTGGGAAAACTGTGTGGGTAAGGGTCCCAGCCTTGCTAGCCCCTTCAGGTGCAAGATCCGTGTCAGCTTACACCCGGTCTCCAACAGATATTTATCAATCTAAGGGAACAAAATGGTCCTCTTCTTTCCTTATTGGGAAGACATCCACCATAGCCTGGGCAGTGAGGCTTAATGGTAAGAGTGTCAGCCTACACACATGAAGGGTGGAGAATTAAATTCTTTGTCAAGGACAAGTACCTGGTTTCAAGGTTTAATACATGGAAACTATTGGGGGCTCATGCAGGTGAAATCCAGTTGATGTGTGTCTCTTCCAAGTTTCTCTTTCTCTCCATCCCCACTCTTCCACTCTGAATAATAATCAGTGGGAAAATATCCTCCTGTGAGGATTATGAAAAACAAAAATAGAACCATCTACCACCGCTACCCCAACAAGGGGCTTCTGCCTGCACAGCCCACTCCTCCTTATGCTCTCTTGCCTTTTTTTGGGATGTTCCCACTGCAGCTTGGACAAATTTTTTTTTTTAATTTTATATTATTGCTTAGAGTATTATATATGTCTCCTTTGTTTTTTTCTCCCCTTGACCTTCCCCTGGCCTCCCATACTCCTCAGTGTCTTGTGTCCATTTGTTATGCTTATATGCGTGCCAGAAGTCCTTCAGTTGTTTTCTTATCGCCCTCCCCCCCCCCGAACTTTCTCCAGCCTTCCCGCTGTAGTTTGACAGTCTGTTCAATGTTGCTCTGTCTCTGTATCTATTTTTGTTCATCAGTTTATAATGGTCTTAATTATCTATAAATGAGTGAGACCATTGACTGGCTTATTTCACTTAGCATAATGCTCTCCAGTTCCATCCATGCTGTTGCAAATGGTAAGAATTCCTTCTTTTTTACAGCAGCATAGTATTCCATCATGTAGATGTACCAGTTTTCTAATCCATTCATCTGCTGATGGGCACTTAGGCTGTTTCCAGATCTTAGCTATGGTAAATTGTGCTGCTATGAACATAGGGGTGCATATATCGTTTCTGATTGGTGTTTCTAGTTTCTGGGTATATATTCCTAGAAGTGGGATCACTGGGTCAAATGGAGTTCCATTTTTAACTTTTTGAGGAAACTCCATACTGTCTTCCATAGTGGCTACACCAGTGCACGAGTGTTCCTTTTTCTTCGAATCCTCGCCAGCACTTGTCGTTTGTTGATGATAGCCATTCTGACAGGTGTGAGATGGTACCTCATTGTTGTTTTGATTTGCATTTCTCAGATGATTAGTGACTTTGAACATATTTTCATATGTCTCTTGGCTTTCTGAATGTCCTCTTTTGAAAAGTGTCTATTTAGGTCAGTACACATCATAGCAACTGGTCGTTCCGCCATTCAGTCGATTTGCATATTAGCCTTTTATTATATAGGATATTTTATTTTATTTTTTCAATATATTTTATTGATTTTTTAGAGGGAGGAAGGGCAAGGGATTGAGAGTTAGAAATGATAAGCTGCCTCCTGCACACCTCCTACTGGGGAAGTGCCCGCAACCAAGGTATATGCCCTTAACCGGAATCAAATCTGAGACCCTTCAGTCCGCAGGCTGACACTCCATCCACTGAGCCAAATACACACACACACACACACACACACACACACACACACACGCGTGCGCACGCGCATGGAAGTGAGAAAATGCACAATTAGCTAAATAGGGACTCTAGGCAGCACTCACATTTAGGGATATATTTTGCGCATTGCTTGGTGAGTGTGGCCACTCAGTTTATATCCACGGAATCAATGAAACTATGAGGGGGAGGAAGGAAGGATAGGAGAACCCAGGGGAGAAATGGCCATTTAGGTTTGAAGGTTAAGAATGTCCCAATGATTGACTCCTGGCCACCTCTCCCTGCTCGGCTTCGCTCCCCAGCTTCTCCTCAGGCACCACAATCTGTGCCTCTCTCCCTGCTCCAAAGCCCCAACAGAGTGTTTGCAATAGAAAAGTCCTGTGTTCTGCCTTTAGAGAATAAAAACAAAAGCAAAACAATGAAACTGCTCTTTTGCATCTTCCTCCAGCACCGTTCTGTTTGGCCAGCTTTTCATGGGGCAGCCATTTCAGCACTTTTATCTTGATTTGTTGATGACTGCCATTCTGACAGGTGTGAGATGGTACCTCATTGTTGTTTTGATTTGCCTTTCTCAGATGATTAGTGACTTTGAGCATGTATGTTGAAACTGGCTCCAGTTTCCCCAGAAGCCAGCTGCCCTGTGGCTTTTCCTTTACACAGTTGGATGTTACCCACTTCGTGAAGGGATGCAGCTTTGGTGCAACACAGCTTTTTCCTCACCCTTTTGGCCCACTGGCTGGCTGTCCCTCTCAAGCCCACTTCCCAGTTCTTGCCGTACTCCAGGCATCCTCTGCCCTTCCTTCTTGTAAAATGTCTGCTCAGCTGCATGTAATTTGTTAATACCAGGAGGATGTTCTTTGATTTAGTTGTATTTCCAGTCTGTCTCAAGACAAGATGCACAATACATCTGCCTATTAGGCCCCCATTTATTTTATTTATTTATTTTTACTACTTTCTGATCCTTGTTGTTAAAACCAGCCAGACTGACCTCCCTACAGCTTGTATATGCACAGGGCAGGCTTCCACCTGGAGCCTGCCACCGCTTCCCAGACTTCCTCAGTGAAGACCCCACTGACCAACGCTGGTTTCACCTCCCCCCATAGCTGCTGGTCCATTCTCTGTGGACTGTCCTCCACTAGATGCCAGTTCCCAAGGACAGGGGACTCTGTATTTGGGGCATCTGAAAAAGTTGGGCTCAACAGTATCCACAACCTCAACACATGGCTGCTGAGCCTTCATCCAACGGGATTCAAGTTCTCATCCCTACAGCCTTCCCTCAGCCCACCCACTCAAGGAACCTGGCCCATGAGCTGGCAGGAACACGTTTACAGGCACACAACCTCTCTTCCCCTCAACCAGACACCCCAGCAGCACACTTTTCTCCAGAATCCAGGAACTAACCCCTCATTGCAGGTCTCCCATGCACAGGCAAAACTTAGGGAGGGGCACAATGACCACAACTCATCCTCCGAATGTGGAATTATATGAAGACCAAGCCAATCCTTCTGAAAATGCTTCTATTGCAGAATGTTCTCACCACTGACAATACACACTACCATATCCTGGAGAACCCATGCTACCTCCAGGACTGGCTGGGTGAGGAGTGGGGGAGAGTCGTGCTTTAATTTTAATAAAATTAAAGTGAAAAATAATCTCTAAAGTGAAAATGAGACTTAAACACCAGTGGGTCTCAGGGGTGTGAGTGGGTTGGCTGGAGGCAGAACTTTCTAAATGTGAACTGATTTGGGGACCTGTAGCATCAGGGGGCTTCTCTCAGATACAGAACTAACTTCATGTGCAGCAGGCCAGGTGCCTGGGGGTGGGGAAGAGCAGGCTGGAGAGACCTCTGGATGGAGACAGAAGACCCCTGGCCAGCTCATCTTAGGCAGACACAGAACCCAAATCCCTCCCAGTGCCTTGCCTGGGCCTCCTCTCTGCCAAACCCTGGGAAGGATACAGTGTACCCAGCTGCAGTGGGAGCATCTGAGGCAAAGGCTGAAAAGTGAGCAAAGGTGGACTGTGCAGGCAGAGGCCTCATCTCAGGACACCAGGGTGAATGTTTGAGTTTTTTTGGTGATCCTCATCTGAGAATATTTTTCCATTGATTTTGAGAGAGAGTGCAAGGGAAGGGAGAAAGGAAGAAAGAGATTGAGGGGGACATCAATGTGAGAGAGAAGAAAAAAATTAGATGCCTCCTACATAGCACAACATGGGTTAGGACAAACAGGCAAATTAGAACCACAAACTCATGCAGTCTTTATTTCAAGGCCATGGGCAGCAATGCACTATAAGCCAATTGGTCAAAGAGTGATTTCCTGACATGATGCTGTCCCTCCTAAAGCACAGAAAGATTGGGAACCACACAATATCTGTTAACGCTATGATGATAGATCAGGGGCGAGCAAACTTTTTGACTCGAGGGCCACAATGGGTTCTTAAACTGGACCGGAGGGCCAGAACAAAAGCATGGATGGAGTGTTTGTGTGAACTAATATAAATTGAAAGTAAACATCATTACATAAAAGGGTACAGTCTTTTCTTTTTTTTAGTTTTATTCATTTCAAACGGGCCGGATCAGGCGTAGTTTGCCCACGGCTGTGATAGATCATAATTGTGCTTGACAATCATCCCTGGAATTGAATATAACCAAAATAATTAAAAGTACAAAAGAAAAACACCTTTACTAAAAGATCATAAACCAGACAGAGGACAGCAAGTGGTTCGCAGGTTGGGGAATCAACACCTGGAACAATTCATCACAGCATAATGTGAGAAGCACATGTCCCTGAAAGAGGCAGCACTTCTTAGTTGAGGACGGGTGCCCTGGATGAACCCTGGGTCAGGTGCATTACCTCCACAGAGATAAAGGAATGAAGATCCTGTCAGGAGCTGGAATAATCATAATGTTCTCAAGCACAAGAGAGAACACAGAATACATTTCCCCTGAGCACACAGGGGTTGGGACTGATACACAGTCTTCAGGTGAGCCAGGTGGTAGGGGGGAAATCTCTTCAGCCACAAATCAATCGGGCAGAAGATCTGTGCATGTTACCAGGTGCAATGCACTCCTTCAAGCCTCAGTTGTATAGGAAACTTATGCGGAATCTAGTACAGTGTATGTCCCATTAAAAGGGTTTAAATTCCGGAAAATAGTTCCCAAATAGTGGCCTTCAGTGTTATTATTCAAGTGAATAAAATAAAACATTCTGTGCAAATTTAACACTTCTCTCCACTGTGACCTCTCAGATGTTTAATAAGACTAGATTTTTCTCAAAAACACTTTCCACATGCAGTACACTCATATGGCTTCTCTCCAGTGTGAACTCTCTGGTGTTTAATGAGTTTACTTCTTTCACTGAAGGACTTCTCACATTCAGTACACTGATATGGCTTCTCTGCAGTGTGAACTCTCAGATGGCTAATACGGTTAGATTTTTGGCTAAGAGACTTCCCACATTCAGTACACTCATACGGCTTCTCTCCGGTGTGAACTCTGGTGTTTAATGAGTGTGCTCCTCACACGGAAGGATTTCCCACATTCAGTACATTCATATGGCTTCTCTCCAGTGTGAACTCTCTGGTGTTTAATGAGTGTACTTCTTTCACTGAAGAACTTTCCACATTCAGTACACTCATATGGCTTCTCTCCAGTGTGAACTCTCTGGTGTTTAATGAGTGTACTTCTTTCACTGAAGAACTTTCCACATTCAGTACATTCATATGGCTTCTCTCCAGTGTGAACTCTGAGATGTCTAATAAGGCTAGATTTTTGGCTAAAAGACTTCCCACATTCAGTACACTCATGTGGGTTCTCTCCACTGTGAACTCTCAGATGTTTAATAAGCTTAGATTTTTCACAAAAAGACTTTCCACACTCAGTACACGCATACAGCTTCTCTCCAGTGTGAACTCTCAGATGATTAATAAGCTCAGATTTTTTGCGAAAAGACTTCCAACATTCAGTACACACATATGGCTTCTCTCCAGTGTGAACACTCTGGTGTTTAATAAGTGTACTTCTTTCACTGAAGAATTTTCCACATTCAGTACATTCATATGGCTTCTCTCCAGTGTGAACTTTGAGATGTCTAATAAGGTTAGATTTTTGCCTAAAAGACTTCCCACATTCAGTACACTCATATGGCTTCTCTCCAGCGTGAACTCTCTGGTGTTTAATGAGTGTACCTCTTTCACTGAAGGACTTTCCACATTCAGTACACTCATATGGCTTCTCTCCAGTGTGAACTCTAAGGTGTATAGTGAGGTGAGCCCTTCGATGAAAGGACTTCCCACATTCACTACACAGATACAGCTGTTCTCTAGGGTGAACTCTCTTATATCCAATGATGTTAAAGATTCGTCTAAAAACTTTCCTACATTTGTTACACTCATAAATCATTTCTCCAGAATATGCACCCTGACATTGAACAACTTTCAGGTTGTGGCTGGCAGCATTTTCACAGTCACCCCACTGGTGATGACTTTTTTTATCAAGAAATTCCTGTGAAATCTCACTGCCACAGTGTAGCTCCTCAGTTTTGAGAATGGCCTGGTGCTGGGGAAGCTCTGAGTTGCATTGCAAGTCTTCCCCAACCTCCCTGCTGGTTGAAGGCACTGAAGATAAGTAGACGCTGCACCTGCTCACATAGGATGCCCTGACCATAGCTTGTTTCCAGGGCTCCTCCCCACATTTATTCCTCTGTTCCTGGTGAGGGTTTGCCCTAAAATAGAAGTCTCCAAGATATGCATCAGTACAGAAGGCTTTCTGCTCAAAGTATGCTGCATGTGACCCAGTCAGGTGAAAAATATGTT